TTGCTCATCCAATAAGGAGTTAATCAATCTCAATCAGGACCATGCAAAAGTGTAGGTATCATGGATATGTCAATTATGATACAGCAGTAGAAAGAGCACAATTAACAATTAAGTCAAACTAACTTGGCCACTATGACTTTTCTAAGGGTTTAGTTCCTAGGGGAGGTCATGAGTTCAAGTTTCTCTAGGAGGAGTTGAATTTAAGAGGCAAGAACTTTTGTTGATTCTTTATAAAGGGTGGAGAGATTAACTCTTATAAGTGTTTATCGGTCATGTTTCAATCAAAAATAAAGAACTAAACAGAGCACTAATTCAGTAGAATGGTGGATTGTTCAGGTATCATTGGTTCACTTTAATATCTATATAAATTAGGGCATCGCCAACGGTTCACCAGAATTTTCATCAAATCTAAGTAAGAAAAAAAAGTCGAGTTCCTCAATCTGATATGAGCCACTCCAATGATGAGTGCTGTAGCATTCATCAAAACACATTGCATGTCCGGGAGGACGATCGGCCGGTCGACCAGACAAGGAAAATGAATTTTTTCCCTCCTCAATTTCTGTTTCCTCAATTCATATCCCATTTCTTTTTTCCTTCATTAAATCTTTTCCATTTTTTTTGCCTCAAACAATTATTTCCTTCTAAAAACTGATATAAACAGATTAATCCATGTACACACAACTTAGGAAAGTCAAACCACTAGAAATCAAGGAGTATTTGTTGAGTAAATGCGGAGGCTCTCCCTCAATCAATGAATCTGTTTTTTTTTTTTTTTTAATTTCTTTCTTTCTTTTGCGCACTCATTGGCGGCTTTCACGTATAAGAGTATGGTAACCGAACCAGAGAAGCATGGATGCAATAAGGATAGCCTAGTTAGCTAAGGTAACCTTTTGCCTTGACTACAAAGAACTAAGGAGAAAGCCTAGTTAGCTGAGGTAGCATTTTGCCTTGATTACAAAAAACTGAGAGGAAAGCCGTAAAGATGCAAAAAGATGGAAGTTGGTTAAGAGACTCAACATCACCCATAATGTGCTAGTATAGGTCAATTCCTCTAGAAATGCAAAAGACACAATGCTAGAAGTCCATAGAGAAATTTGATCACTTATGCAGAAGAGTCCAAAATTTGCTAATCCAAGCTTGTGTACAAAATGAGATATACTAATCAAAGTACACACACTCCGAAATGAGCAATGACCACATAAGGCACACACATATTAACATGTAATGGATATTCTTATTAATTCCAATATGCACAAAGAACTTCTCAAAAATGTCAAGCTTGCAAAACCATACTAAGAAAATCTTTTTGGATTTGTGTGTGTGTGTGTGTGTGTTTTTTTTTTTTTCATTTTATATAAATAAAGCAAGACAGAAAACAAACAAGCACACACAAAACGACCCCCCCAAAAAAAGACAGAAACCTTTAAATAGAGAGAAAAACAAATAAATAAATAAAAAAAATAAACATGTTAGATCAAGTCAATTTTTCTCACCTAAACCGTTTTAGTATAAACAAAGTTGTGAGAATTACGGTTCGTGGGTGGTGTTTTGATGTTGTGGTTTCCTTCCACTTCAATGGGAACCCGTCTCGATATGGTTTCTAATTTCCTATTCCTAGGTCTAGGCAAACACAATCTCTGTTCATGTTTGGTCTCAAGCAAATCAAGATAGCGAGGTCTATTATGACCTTTAACATCATTACGACTAATGAAGTGTCTCTCTTCCCCATAAGATATTGGAATTTCTTCTATCTCTATGAGACCCTCTCCCATGCAACTCATAACAATAAGGGCAAATATGACCATACATACCACAATGATGACAAATAAAAACAGGGTGTACCTTCTTTTCTTTGGCCTTACCAACTCTAGGAAGATTGAGAAGTCCATCATCATGTTGAAATTTTTGTTCCCTCTTTCCTTGAGTTATTGTATCATGAGATCTTGTATCATGAGATGTAGATGCACTCCATTTTTGCTCTTTGTCACCACAAAAGCCAATGCCACTCTTGTCACAATACATTTGTTGAGACCCAATGATATTGTCCAAAGTCTTTGATCATTTGTTCCAAAGTTCAATGGTAGCCATAACACACTTGATCTCTTCCTCTTTCTTGATGACTAGCTTTTTTAAGGCAACTTGAGACATCTCGAGAGTTTCAATCTTTTCTTCATATATTACATTATTTATTGTAGCTCATTCCTCTCTGTCTCACAAGTCAAGAGTTTTGCACAAAAAGCTTGTTGATCACTAAAAATCTTGATGGCATCATTTCTAACCTCGGAAATCTCCTTCTTTAATTTGACATTCTCACTTTCATAGACTTTGAGTTTGATAATGAGTTTGTCATTCAACTTATATAAGTTAAGAGATTCCTTATACAACTTTTCATAAGCTTGCTGAAGCTCTTCGTTATCGTTCCCCGAGGATTCATCATCAGTGACATTCTCAATCAGTGTCTTTGGATACTCTATTCGTCTTTCAGTTCCAGAAGCTGCCATAAAAACAAGAAATTGTTCACGCCCCTCAACGCCTGAAGTCTCGTTGTCACTTTCATCCTTATTAAACTCTGATTCATCATCCCAAGTGATAGCGAAAGCTTTCTTCTTCCTCAAGCGATTAGGACATTTTTGAGCAAAGTGACCAAATCCTTGGCATTCATAGCACTGGACTCTTTCAGAGTTCCCTTGTATTTTTCATTTCTTTTTCTTGGTTGTAGAATCAATTTTGAGCTTATTTTTGCCTTTGGATTTATGAGTTGCTTCCAAAAGATTAGGATTCTTTTTCAGAAAAGACTTTTTAAATTATTTTACAAAAGCATCCGTAATCTTAGAATCAATCTCACAATTCTCATCAGAATCCTTTCTAGCTCTATGAGCACTACTAAAAGCAATATCATCTTTTTGAAGGTTATATGTGCCTCATAGGTTTGGATATTTCCAACCAAATGATCCAGCTTGAGGTTGTCAACATCTTGAGCCTCCTCAATAGCTATAACTTTTGGTTGGAACCGATCGGACAAGGACCTCAATTTTTTTTTTCACAATCTTGGATTTCGGTACTTTTTTCACCTAAATTAAAGTTGGAATTTACAATGTCACTCAATTTTCACATAAAATTCATCAAAGGTCTCATTATTTTTCATTGAAAGTTTTCGAAACTAAACGTAAGCCTTTGAAGTTTGAGTGTTTAACCGAAGAAGTGCCTTTATGAATAGTTTGTAAGATATCCCAAGCCTTTTTTGTGACTTCACAACGACAAATACGACTAAACTCTTTTGGTGTGACGGTGCAAAAGAGAGAATTGATAGCTTTACTATTCCAGCTATTATTTTGGTAATCAATTTTGTTCCATTTATTAATTGGTTTGGGGAACGTTACTTCATCAATGGTAATAGTCAGTTTGGTCCACCCACACATGATGGATTGCCAAACTTTTTCATCAATAGATTTAAAAAACGCTCTCATCCGAGCTTTCCAAAAAGAATAATTAGATCCATCAAGTAGGGGTGGTCGGACCATAGAATTTCCCTCACAAATTGAATCCATTATCACAAATTAAACAACAAAATCTTGCTTCAATAGTTTTGAAAAAAAATAGAGCGACCTACTCTGATACTAATCGAAAAATCTTAAAATCCTTGAGATATTGATTTGTGATTATGTATCAATTTTAAACAGTAAATAACAATCCCAATCAAACAATCAAATACAAATCGACACAACGATTTAATTGGAAAAAATTACAATTAAAGAGCCTCCAATTGTGATAAAAAAAGAGAAAAATAGTATATAAATAATGTAAAATCTACTTATTTTTTAAAAGTTTAAAATTAAACAAAATAATAATTATAAAAATGAAACTGTCTTTGTTAAAAAACAGATTGTTAATTTTGGGTTTGTCATGACTTGGAAACATTGCAAACAACAAATGCCTAAATTTTAGAAGCTCAATTTTTTTGTTTCACAGATTTCTGACTAAATCAAAAATGGATTAGCCCCCTTTCTCTCTCTCTCTCTCTCTCTCAAAATATACTGTATCAAACAGGGCCTAAAAGGATAAACGTGTCCATCGACGACGACAATGGAGGGAAGAGCATTCTAGAGAGAGGAGAAAGTGGTATCACCACCGCCGTAGTCTTCGAGAGCAACACACGTCCTCTGTATGCGATTCACCAGACCGATCAAGCTCTCTATTGTCGCCATCTTCTCTAACCCTACTAGATCTCAGTTCAAAACCCCCATAGTAAAGACTTAAACAAGAAGTAAAAGCAGCTTAGAAGAAACAACAGAGAGAATTTTGTAGGTGAGAGAAAAATCTAGAGAGAGAGAGAGAAATACTTGCAATTTAGGCCAACCAAATTGGAATAGCGATGAAGAGAGAGAGAAGAGAGAGAGACAGTGGACTTGGTCGAAGAAATGGCATTGTTCATTAGGAGGACAATGATACGGTGTGCTAGGTGCGCAATGTTTGTCGTTTTTGAAGGATCTGATTGCGTGTAGAATTCTAATAAGGGTTTAGCTTGTCTCATGTTAAGATCAAGACTGAACTCATTCAATCCGATCCATAGGCCCATTTTGGTGCCACGTTTTTGATAATCCGAACCCTTGAATGTGTAGAACTTGTTAAGTACTACATCCTTGTAAAAGATTATATTGATCGGATATCGATAACTATTTGATTGGATCAGATTTGTATTAAAAAAATGAACAGTGAAAAAATAAAAGGTTGACGGAATTCTGATTCGATCAAATAGCTATTGATATTCGATCAAAGTGATTTTTTACAAGCATATAATATTCGACGAGTTATATATATCAAACGGTTCAGATTATCAAAACAAAATCCAAAAATAAACCCATGGACCAAACTAGACGAATCCAATTTTAATCTCAACCTGAAACAAGCTAGACCCTTGTTAGAATTCTACACCCAATCAGATCCTCCAAAAACGACAAACATTGCGCACCGTATCATTGTCCTCCTAACGAACGCCGTAATTTCTTCGACCAAGTCCCCTTTCTCTCTCTCTCTCTCTCTCTCTTCACCGCCATTCCAATTTGGTTGGCGTAGATTGCAAGTGTCTTTCTCTCTAGATTTTTCTCTCACCTAGAATAGTCTAAGCTGCTTTTACTTGTCGTTTAAGTCTCTACGAGGGGGGTTTTGAACTGAGATCGGGTAGGGTTTGGAGAAGATGGCGACAATGGAGAGCTTGATCGGTCTGGTGAATCGCATACAGAGGGCGTGTACTGCTCTCGGAGACTACGGAGGCGGCGATACCGCTTTCTCCTCTCTTTGGGATGCTCTTCCCTCCGTTGCCGTCGTCGGTGGACAGGTTTACCCTTTTAGGCCCTCTTTGTTTACAGTATATTTTTAGAGAGAGAGAGAGAGAGACTAATCCATTTTTGATTTTTAGTCAAAATTCTGTGAAACATAAAAATTGAGCTTTTAAAATGTGGGCGTATAATCTATTTTTCATAGAATCCTCTGTGATTTTTCATCTGATTTGAGTTAAAATTGAGCGAGTGAAAGTTTTTATTCCGGTGGCAGAGAGTTTTGTACAGAGATTGAGTGGTTTTTAGGAGAAATATGGAAGAAAAAAGATAGATTTTAAGTCATTTTTTGCTTTATATGATTTTGTTTAAATTTGAGGCTCTCTTTTAATCTGATAATCGTTGGGAATTGAGGTTTTCTTTATCTGATATTTTGTCTAATTTTTGTATCAGAGTTCTGGAAAATCTTCCGTTTTGGAGAGCATAGTTGGGAGAGATTTTCTTCCTCGAGGATCTGGTTAGGTTTTGTTAACTTTGCTTTCATTATGAATTTATGTTATTATTAGTCATGTAATTATGCTACTTGATTTTAATTAAATGTGTTTGTGGGTATTTTTAGGGATTGTCACAAGGCGGCCTTTGGTGTTGCAACTTTACAAGATAGATGAGGGACAGCAGGAGTATGGCGAATTTTCTCATCTGCCTCGAAGAAAATTCACTGATTATGGTGCACCACTTCTGCTGCTCATTTTGTTTTTTTAATTTTTTACTGTTGATTAACATTTGTACTTTTTAAGCATTTATATTCGAGTGATGATAATTCTTATGCCTCATTTGGGAACATGCTAATTTAGTAACTTTTTAGCTATTTGACTAAAATATGAGTTAAAAAAAATTAGTATGTATGGGATGACTTTTTGGCTTTTTATGAAAATATGTGCAAAAAGTAGAGAGAAAAGAGAATCTTTGACTTTTTGGTATAGGTTGTTGGCTTTTTAATTTTTTTAGTAACTTTTTAGCTTTTTGACTAAACCGGCCTGTTGCCAAATGAGGCCGTAGTTTCTTTATTTGAATGTCATGTTTCACTTGTTAAAGCTTTATTCCAATTCCTAAATACAGTATTGACCTTTGAAGTGTTTAAACATATAATTGATACTTTCAAACAAATGTAATACGAATTTTATGGCTTCGCTGATCTTGAAGTTGTTAGATACTGACCGGTCTTGTCCATTCCCCAGCTTAGTTTTATTAAGTTCATGTAGGCCTACTGAAATTTAAATTAGATAAAGGGTTGCAATATGATGTATTTTTTCCGAACCCAAGGTTTTAAACCTTGATGAAACAGAAAGATGAGCAGAAATGAACTATTTGTTTATTTTGATTTTAATCCACCCCTTTTATCCTTTACTTGGGGTTATTATTATTATTATTATTATTATAAGCACAAATATGAATTCACAACATGACATGAAACACTGGCATAGTAATTTAAAAAAAATAAAGACAGAGACATGTGAGGGACACATAAAATATATACTTTTTATACTATGAGGCCCATATACCTCTTTGTAGGTCATGTACTGGTGTTCGACATGTGTCCAACACGGATGTACGTTGGACACCCACAAGATACATGTTAGACACATTGGAGGAAATGTCCTATTTTTAAATTTTATTTTATTTTATTTTATTTTAAGTCGAACACACTAGAGACACATTGAGGATACATTGTGTTTGAACTTATAACCATGGTTTTAAAAATGGGCCGTAACTGTTATGTAATGCCATTACATAATCGTTTGGGTAGTTTTTACCACCCGTTACGGCCGCTATACTAGTGTGATTGAAAATCAAACGGATGTTACAACATTGTTACGACCTTTACCTTTGTCTTTAGTAGATAATACAAGTAATACCATTTTTCTCGTATCCCTTTTTTCAATTGCTAACATCACACAAAAAGCGCATAGAATTGTTGTGAAAATCTTAGATCAACATCCTTTAGTGTCCAATCTTCAATTTCTACTAGATTTGAGTTAGATGAGATTCCCTTCTTTATTTATTTTAACTTTTATTATTATTTTTTCACTTGACTCCTTGATTCTTTTGGTACTCAACATTGGCTTAAAATAAGCCCACAAATAAGCTAGTTGTTTGGCATATTTTTGGCTGTCCTAATGACCTTTTTAAGTGGCTTAAGTTGGCTTTTTGGCGGGAAATGGCTATGACAAATGACTTGAAGCTTTTTCATGGGCTTATTAGCAGTCTCAAATGGAGCCTGACTTAGATCTATTTGGTTTTAGGTTAGATTTGGTCTCGTTTGGCAAGTGGCTTTTTTAGTCAAAAAGTCAAAAAGCCAAAAAGCCAACAACTTATACCAAAAAGTCAAAGATTCCCTTTTCTCTCTACTTTTTGCGCATCTTTTCGTAAAAAGTCAAAAAGTCATCCCAAACATGCTAGTTTTTTTTACATTATATTTTAGCCAAAAAGCCAAAAAGTTACTAAAAAAACCTGTTCCCAAACAAGTATTTAGATGAATATTCTGTTATGTACTTTTACTATGCTAGCATATTGCATTATGATTGTTGTTTAAGGCCCTAGAAATATGAAACATTAGACATGTTTAATAAATTCTTTTTATAAATATTTTTATTTTGTTTTGCGTAAAAAGGACAAGTTATCTATAACTTCAATCAATAAACAAAGAAAATTAAATACATCTAGCAAAATGAAAAATCTCTAGGGTCACTTAAAACCTATGAAGCATGGGTACTTTGAAAATATTTCCGTACTCGTACCGGATATTTACCGGGTATTGGTACTTGTACCAATAGGGTTGCATGCGCACTAGGTATTCGAAATACGTACTGGGTACTTTTTATACGTTCTTTGGTAGTTAGGTATTCTATGGGTACTTCATGGGTATATCGGGAGTACACGTAGCTATGGGACATTAGTGGAGATACGTTTAATTTATTAGAGAGTTTTTATTTACTTGAAATTGCAAATCCTTTACCTGATATGTCAAAGTTGAAAGATGTATTGTTTAATGATGAAGTTAATGGAAGTGGAAACTGAAATTTCAAAATTTGCATAGTTTGCTTTTGGAATGAAACTTTGTTTTGTAATTTCTCTTATTTAATGGCATTAAAATAGCTTATAGACTTTGCTTTAGTACTTGTATTGTTGAATTATGATTTCTCTTTTGGTTTTGTAATTCTCGGAGACTACTGGAGGAGGCGGCGATACCGTGCTTTTCTTCTCTCTTGGATGCTCTTCTCGTTGCGTGTCGGTGTAAACCGGTTTACCCTTTTGGCCCTCTTTGTTTACAGTCATATTTTTAGAGAGAGAGAGAGGAGATAATCATTTTTGATTTTTAGTCAAAATTCTGTGAAACATAAAAATTGAGCCTTTTAAATGTGGGGCGTATAACTCTATTTTCATAGAATCCTCTGTGATTTATTCTCTGATTTGAGTTTAAATTGAGCGAGTGGAAAGTTTTTTATTCGGTGGCAAGAAGTTTTGGTACAGAGATTGATGGATTTTTAGGGAAATTGGAAAAAAAGATAGATTTTAAGGTCATTTTTTGCTTTATATGAATTTTGTTTAAATTTGAGGCTACTCTTTAATTGATAATCGTTGAGGAATGCCATGGTTTCTTTTTCTTGATTGTTTTGTCTTATTTTTGTATCAGAGTTTGGGAAATCTTCCGTTTTGGAGAGCATAGTTGGGTATAGAGATTTTGTCCTTCTCGGATCTTGGTTTAGGTTTTGTTAATTTGGCTTTCATTATGAATTTATGTTATTATTAGTCTGCATGTATTAATGCTAACTTTGATTTTAATTGAATTTTAATTGAATGTGTTTTGTGGGTATTTTTAGGGTTTGTCACAAGGGTTTCTGGTCTTTTGGTGTTGCAACTTTACAAGATAATGAGGGACAGAGGAGTACTGGCGAATTTTCTATTGCCTCAAAAGAAAATTCACTGATTATGGTGCCACACTTCTGCTGCTTCATTTTGTTTTTTTAATCTTTTTACTGTATATAACTATTTGTACTTTCTTAAGCATTTTTATCGAGTGATGATAATCTTATGGCCTATTTGGGAACTAGCTAATTAGTAACTTTTTAGCTATTTGAACTAAATATGAGTTTAAAAAAGATATTAGTATGTATGCGGAATGACTTTTTGGCTTTTTTATGAAAATATGTGCAAAAGTAGAGAGAAAAGAGAATCTTTGACTTTTTGGTATAGGTTGGTGTGGCTTTTTTAATTTTTTTTTAGTAACTTTTTAGCTTTTATGAGCTAAAACGGCCTGCTTGCAAATGAAGGACCGTAGTTTCTTTTATTTAGATGTCAGCATTTTCACTTGTTAAAGTTTTATTGCACCATTCTAAATACACGTATTGGAACCTTTGAAGTGTTTATAAGTCATTTAATTGGTATGTTGTCAAACACAATTGTGAATACGAATTTTATGGGCTTCGCTCGATCTTGAAGGTTGTTAGATACTGACCGGTCTTGTCATTCCCAGTTAGTTTATTCAGTTCATGTAGCCTCTGAAAATTTAAATTAGATAAAAGGGTTGCAAATGATGTATTTTTTTTGCGAACTTCCAAGGTTTTAAAACTTGATGAACAGAAAGATGAGCAGAAAGTGAACTATTTGTTTATTTGGATTTATCAGCTCTACTTTGCTTTTATCCTTTTATGTGGGGTTATTATTATTATTATTATTATTAAGCAAATATGAAATATACAACATGACATGACAAATCACTGCATAGTATTTAAAAAAATAAAGACAGAGACATGTGAACGGGACACATAAGAATATACGTTTTTTATCCTATGAGGCCCTATATGACCAATCTATTGTAGGTTCATTTACTGGTGTTTCGACATGTGTCAACTACGGTATGTAAGATTGGACACACCAAGATAACTTGTTAGACACATTGGAGAATGTCTATTTGTAGGGAATTTTATTTTAATTCTTATTTTTATTTTAAGTCGAACACACTAGACACAGCATTGAGGATAATTGTGTTTGAAACTTATAACATGGTTTTTAAAAATGGGGCGTAACTGTTATGTAATGCCATTTACTAATCGTTTGGGGTAGTTTTACCACCGTTAGGCCGCTATACACTAGTGTGATTGAAAATCAAACGGATGTTACAACATTGTTACGACTTTACTTTGTCTTTAGTAGATATAAGTATACATTTTTTCTCATTAAATCCCTTTTTTAATGGCTAACACTACATACAAAAGCGCTATATGAAATTGTTGTGAAATTAGATCAACATCTTTAAGTGCACATCTTCAATTTCTACTAAGATATTTGAGTTTAGAATTGGATTCCCTTCGTTTATTTAGTTTTTACTTTTTATTATTATTTTTCACTTGACTCCTGTTCTTTTGGTACTCACACATTGGTAAATAGCCAAATAAGCTAGTTGTTTGGGCATATTTTTGGCTGTCTCTATTGAACTATTTGTATAAGGTTGCTAAGTTGAAGCTTTTTGGTCGGGAATGGCTATGACAGATGACTTGAAGCTTATATCGGTTGCTTATTTAAGCAGTCTATAAATGAAGCCTGGACTTATATCTATTTGGTTTTAGGTGAGATTTGGGCCTCGTTTGGCAAGATGGGTTTTTTTATCAAAAAGTCAAAACCCAAATGACACAACTTATACCAAAAGTCAAGATATCCTTTTTCTAC